TTATATGAAAAGTGAAATAGTTGAGCTAGATAAATACTAAGGTCATTTCCAGTTCTATATTCATGATCCTATGGACTATATTATGATTTAACTGAAGATAAAAAAAAAATAAATGCTTTAAAGGGTTAAATAATAATGACAGGGAAAGTAACTGTACCAGGGAAGCTATTTTTAAAATGTCTTGGTCACAAGGGCCATAAGAGTGGCCAGAAGAAATTAAGATAAAAATGAAATTATAAGTGAAATTAGAGATCAAGGGAGAAAATGGAAAGGAAAATAAGTAAATTAAAATAGAAAACAGAAATTCTTACCAAGTAGTGGACACCTTAAAAAACTGAATAAGTGGAAACAAAACAAAAACAAAAAAACTTTAATGACTTCATGAGACAATAAGAAATATCAGAATAAAGTGAAAAGATTTTTAAAGTAAAAAAGGGAAGGTATACGCTATCAAAAAGCAATTGTATTCTACTGTGCGTATGTGAATACTCTTATTCTAGTGTTTAAGTTGAGAATAAAAAATTAAAGAAAAAAGAAAAAAAACAAACAAGCATAGTCAAGATAAATATAGAAAGGTAAATGAGCTATTACAAGGGACTCAGTAATGATGAAGTATTTACATTCTAATAGTGGAAGGAGAGACAAGTATTCTTTCAGAATCTTAATGCCTTCAAGGATCATAGAGGAAATGAAATAAGACAAATACAGAGATTAGACATGGTTTTGTTTTGTGTGATGTGTATGTGTATAGTGTTACACTATTTTGTTGGTTTTAAGAGAGGAAAGAAAAATGAGACCAACATATCAAAACTTTTGTATGAATATGCTTATTAATTATAAGAATAGGTTTTTTTACTTTTCTTTTTGGGGAAGTGGGGAGAGTATGGAAGTTTTGATATTGATTTAAAAAAGAAAAGTGTCATTGAATCATTTTAAAATAAGCAGAAAAGATATAAGAAAGGTCCAAAGGGTTACAGGCAATCAAAATAGTTTTGGAACTTCATTGTTAAATTTGAATTATTTTTTTTAAATGTGGTACAGACTGGGAAAAAAATCAAACACTACATAACAGAAACTGACAGTTTCATATACAATCCTTTTTTTGTTTGTGTTCATTTTGCATATATCATATATATGTATGTATACACACACACACACACACACATGTATGGCGTCTCCTCTGTGAAAATGGAAGAGCCTTGAGGTGAGTGACTATTTCATTTTTGTCTTTTTATCTAGAGCTTAGTACAACACCTGGCACCTAGTAAATATTTGATAAGTCCTAATTGACTAATTGCTTGATGAACATAGCAATAGATACAGAAAAGCATTCAATAAAATATAGCAATCATTTGTCTCCCTTCTTTGAAGAAGTGGGGAACAATGGGTATGGAATATTGTGGATACTGTCCATGTTGGCTAGTTTTGCTGAACAACTTTTTTCCTCCTTTTTCTTTCTTTTGTTACAAGGAAAGCTTTGCTGAGTAGGATAGGAGATAACCAGGAAATATATTCAGGAATAAAGGTGACATAAAAACAAAATATGTAAGTAATATTTAAATATATCTAAAATAAAATATAGTATCCATTCACAATACAAAACATTTAGAATAGGAATAGAGATATTTTTCTTTGACACAATAAGAAATAAATATATAAAACCCAGAGCTAGAATTTTAGGCAGTTGAGGAACATTAGAAGCATTCCCACTAAAAACAGGTACATAACAGGGGTGCCCATTTTAACTATTTAAGGTAGTATTAGAAATGCTAATAATTGCCATAAGACAGTAAAAAGAAATTCGAAGCATTCACTTTAAAAATGAAAAAGATCAAAATAATATTTTTGCAGGTGACATTGTTTACCTAAAGATCCATCATTCTTAACAAAAATAATAATAATGATAGAGACAATAGATGACTTCAGCAAAGTTATGGTATACAAGGTAAACACAAATAATTTACATTCTTATGTACTACAGAGTAAACTTAAGAACAAATTATTTAAAAAGAAATCCCATTTATAACAAAAAAAATTCAGTATTTGGGAATTAACTTAACTTAATTAGACACTCCTGTGATCAATAAACAAAGATAACCATAAAATCAAGATGACAGAAATAAGGAAAGATCTAAATAACTGGGTAGAACTTCAATGTTCATTGATGAATTGTATCAACACAGTAAAAATGCCAATCATCTCTAAATTTATGGATCTGATTCAATGACAATAAAAATTTCTAGTGGTTTTCTTTATAAAACAGGACAAAAGCATAGCAAAATGTGGAAAAAACAAAAAGATAAGAATAGTAAAGGTTAAGTTTAAAAATTATAAAAGATGAAGATTGCCTTTCTGGATTTTGTTTTCTCTGCTAGACTTTAAAATTTGTTATTGAAGAGTTTGCATCAAAACTATCAAATATTGAGCAAAAAATTTTATAAAAACAAACAAAAACTAGAATCCAAATCCCAGAAACAAACAAGAAATATAGATAAAAGATTGATGTTTAATGAACCTATACACAATAACAACTGGCAGGTGGATTCATTAAGAAATGTTGAGAAAACTTGCTAGCAATACGGGAAAAAATTATATCTTCCCCTTACAATACACTATAATCACAATAAATCACAGCTAGATCATAGAACTAAATATAAGAAAACAAATTATCAAGAAGTTACAAGAGATGTCCATTTAAGATGCCAATGTAAAAGGGCATAAAGGGAGCCCAGCTCTCTAACTTACATCCCAGCAAATATATGAAAAGGACTCAAGATTCCATAAGACCAGCAAAGCCACATACCAGTGGAAACTCCCTGCATACTGTTATACCGAGAAATTAGCGAATTGACCCAGACCAATTTAAATTGTGGACTTTATTATAGTAGCGTGCGGCTGCCAGGGGTATTCACATCCAAATCAAGCAGCCCCCATCAGGGGTCGAGCTAGGGTTTATATAGGGAGTATACAGGACAGGGAGGGGGATGGATCTTTGAAGTCTGGCAAGAGGAAGAGTTTTTGGGCTGGTCAAAGACACCCCTCTCCCTCTGTCTAGACATGATAATGCTCTGCAACAAAGGAAAAAACTTTCTCACAATGGAGGCTTCCAGAGATATGATCTGAGGGCTGTGGCCTAAGCAGCCAGATAAGGGTCTTGCTAAGGAATTTGGAGTTTTCCAGAGATACGATCTGAGGGCTGGAGCCTGAGCTATGCAAGAGCACATTTCACTATTGTTTAGATTTAGGAGGAAAGAGGTCTGGGGCAAGAGTAAGCAGCAACTTCTGCTTTGCATGGCCTAAAGGGTTCTACTACCTAAATGGTAAAATAATGTTCTGCATTACAATACCAGTTACAGAATTAGCAGAGGCTACATGCTCAGCAGAGAAGCTAACACCAAGCGGGATGTGGGTCCAATGAGAGGAGCACAATGACGTCAGCAGAAGACATCTGTGGTCTAGCAGCGGAGATGTGAGTGACTTCTCTGGGCTTGCTCCCCATGTGTGGTTTCCTATGCATGATTCCTATGTGTGTTTATTCTGTGAAATGATGGTGAATATATTTGAGCCTAGGGGTCATGGGAGCCACTGAAATTTATGAAATGTGAGATGATACGGTCAGACCTGAACTTTTGGAAAATCACTGTAGCAACTACATGGAGGATAGATTGGAGGGATAGATACTTGAGACAGGCAGACCAATTAGAAAACTATTATAATAGGCTAGGTGTGAGGTGATGAGATTCTGAACTAGAGTGGTAGCTATGTGAGTGGAGAAGAGCCGCATGTGAGAGATATTGTGGAAGCAGAAATAGCAGGATTGAGAAACACTCAGCTTATGTACCACCTTCTGTGTAGTGCTCTTGTCCCTCAGCTTCTAGTGTCTTGTTCTCCTCCCTGTATTTATATATATGAATATGTGTGTGTGGGAGGGGGGCGTTGTGCCACTCCCTCTCCTCGCCATAGAATGTATGCTCCTTGGGGGCAGGGACAATTTTGCTTTCGCCTTTGTATCCTCAGTGCCTAGCACAATGTCCAGCACACAGTAGGTGTTTCTTGGTTGATTTCACATTCATGGGAAAGTTAAAATAAGTTAAAATAAAATTTATATATATTTAAAAATATCTTCATATTAAAATACATATTTTCTTAATGTCTGCTAATGCCTTCAAGCATCATAGAGGGAATTAAATTTTTCTTGAAGTAGACTATACTAGAAAGTCTGAGATATATATATTCACTGTTCTTATAGAACTAAGTGATGAAGTACATAGGCCTGGGGGTTGGGAAAACTGAGTTCTACTCCCAACTCTCACCTTAATTTAGTGCATGACTTTAGGGAAGTCTCTCTCTCAACCTCAGTTTTATCTTCTGGGAACTGAAGGGTTGGAATATATGGCCCTTTATCACTCAAGTATACCTTAGCTATTATGCCAGAGAATTTCTGAGTTGGAAATAACCTCAAAGACCATCTAGTCCAGTCCACAGCTGCAAAAATAAATTCCCTCCACAAAATACCCAACTGGTCAGGTCTTTGCTTAAAGTCCGCAGCTGCCCAGGGATCCATTATCACTCAGGATAAGCCATTCCACTTTTGAATAGCTCTGGTTGTTAGGAAGTTTTTCCTGAAGTCAAACCTAAAGTTACCTTTGTGATTTTTACTCATTGTTCCTAATTCTGCCTTCGGGGGACAAGAAGACTAAGTCTAATACTTCTTATGCTGGGCAGTCTTTCAAATAGTTGAAGGCTCCTTTGCGCTTAATCCCCATTCCCCAGTCTCTTTTTTCCCCCCAAGACTGCACACGCCCACATCCTTCAACTTCTCCAAATTCCAGTTTCTAAATTTACAACAATCTACTAAGCTTGTGATTCAAGATGACTCCTCTCCTTCAGGTGGGTGGCTCCCAAGCTGCAAGATCTTCCTTCCTCTCACGTTAGATCCCAAACAATCCAAGCAGCAGCTCCCCATGTACCCAGTCCTTTCACAGGCCAGGGCTACTCACAGATATCTTGGTGAAAACAGACAGCAGCAGAGACAAGATGGACAAGAACATGCGTATCCTGGACCTTCCGTATCTCTTCTGAAGGTACTCAGGCAAGGTGACGATCTGTGGGGGAGGGGTGGGACGTAACACAAAATCAGCACGAAGTCCAAACTCTTGCTGGCCCTCCTATCTCCCCACTCCACCCTTCAGTGATTTCTGCCTGCCTTCAGCATTATAGATTCATTGGTTTTTGTTTGTTGTTTTGTTTTGTTTGAGACTGGGTCTTCCTATCTCACTCAGCTTGGAAGTACATCGGCCACTCACAGGCCAATCCCAATACTGATCAGAATGGAGGCTTGAACTTGTTCAAACCTGCTCTAATTTGCCCTCCTTAGGGGGAGCTCAGTAGATCCACCAGCTTCAACCTCCCCAGTGTTAGGGTTAGAAGGGCTTACGTTTCCACAGGTAGAATAATGCAGAGATTTAAAGAACAACAGCTCCAGGAAATAGTACACTGTAGGTGGGCTCAGGCTTAGCCAATAAAAAGTAAGCTGATGGTTCCATAAAGACCCCAAAATCAAGATAAGGGTCAAGCCAGGTCAGACCGGTTAGGGTCAACCTGAGGACATCGGAAAAATGTTAGTGCGCCTGCTTAATGAACTTCATTACTATTATCTGACACACCCCGCATAAAATTAGAGCCATGGGATGCATGACCAAGGGAGGGGGAACATACTTGAGCATATCAAGGAGAAACATGTAAGGAAAGGTGTAACCTGGGAAGGGATGGCCCAATCCAGGCCTGGGAGGTTTCACGCCGAATTCAACTGCATAAAAGCACACTTGCCCTTGCACTCAGGGCCCACCCCTCCTGAAGAGGGGTGGAGCCTGCTTCTGGCCAGAAACGTCTAAATCCTCTGGACTTTCTCTGTAATAAATTTTCCTGATACTAAATTTTTGGTGTCAAGCCTATTTCTAACACCAGCAATGAGGACTACAGGTACACACCACCATGCCCAGCTCTTGTACTCTTCTGGAGTCTGTTCTGTCAAGAGTCTAAGCCTACCAAATCCTCTCTGGGGAATCCCGGTTGCTAATACCCATTGCCTAAGTCATGAAGGGCTAGCCCCAAACTAACAAATTATTTTGAGGAAAGTCTCAATCACTGTAACTTAATCAAAAGTTTTTTGTTGTTGTCCAGAGAATGTGACGTATGTTTTGCATAACTTCACATGTATAATTCATATCATATTATTTGTCTTCTCAATGTATGGGAAGGAGCTGGTGGGAAGGAAGGAGGTGGGAACTGAAAAATTTAAAAATAAGCATTAAAATAAAGTACAATTTTTTTAAAAGCATGCCAGTGGTTGAGTCCATACCCTCTATGGGGAGATACTTTCAAAAATTCCAAGTAAAGGTTCATTAAATTTTTTGCATTACTTCCCTGATCAACATGTACATCCTATCCCTTGTACCATCTTGAGCTCCAGGAGTACAGCATGTAACTTCTATAAGGTCCTCTACAACTTTAAATCAAAGAATCTATGCTGTTGTGAAGCTGTCTCCCAGCAGCCACTGACCACAATTAAGCCCAAGAAAGATGTATGCATATAGAATCACAAATTTAGAGCTAGAAAGGTTCTTATAAGTAATCTAATCCAATCTGCTCATTTTATAAAGGAGTCCCTTCTAAGCAAGGGGAAGTGAATTGCCCAAGGTCACAGCAAAGCTGGGATTTGAACCCAGGTCCTATGATTATAAGTCTAGTGCTCTTTGGTTATTGATGGATTAATAATTTCAGTTAACTTCTCACTCTCCATTTAGTCTCAAAAAATATAGCAAATACAGACACTTTGCAGTTAAGTTTTACTCATTCAGATTAAAATGAGGGTGGTTTGAAGTAGGAATTAGAAATTAATAATAGCTATAGCATTTATAGAGAATTTTAAGACTTACAAAGTACTTGACAAATATCTCATTTTATCTTCACAACAACCCTGGGCAGGAGATACTAGTATTATCCTCCTTTTACAGATGAGGAAACTGAGGCACAGATACATCAAATGATTTGCCCAAGATTATATAACTGGTAAGTGTCTGAGGCCGGATTTGAATTCAGGTCTTCCTGATTCCAAGTCCAGCACTCTATCCATTTTCACCATCTAAAAATACAGTTGTATGGACAAGACAGAACCAACATAGGTTTAGAGAAGGCACGGTGGATCTGGAATCAGAAAATTTCAGTTACACTCCCTGTTGTGACAGCAGCTGAATGACTAAGAATAGGTTAATTAACCTGTCTGAGCCTTAGTTTCTTCATCTGCAAAATGAGGCTCCTTTTTACTATTTATCTCACAAGGCTGTTGTGGGTAGAGTGCTTCATCAGCATTCAGCTGCTATGTAATGCTAAGTTCCTTGTGATAATCCTGTGATTCATTTTAAGTGATGCCCAGTAGAGGGAGCCACTTCGTCTTGGAGGGAAATGGGGAGAGGGAGAGAAGAACCTATAAATTCACTGGTATAGAGAATTTCCAGTGAGAAAACTTCACTCTACCAATGCAGATCAATAACTATTCATCTCAGAGAGTCATCTGGGGCTTTGAGAAGCTATAACTTGCCCAGTGTCACATAGTCAGTATGTGTCAGGGATAAGATCTGAATCCAAGTCTTTCTCTCAAGATATGTAAAAATACGTATATTTTTTAAATTAGCAGATCTAACCCAGAAAAAAGACTGGAAATTATGGGCTCAGTTGGTGCATGACTACATGTGGTGCTGCTGTCCATTGCCAAGAAACCATATATCTCTTTTTTCATGAAAACCACATTGACCTTCTCAGCCTCCTCCCATCATCATTACCCTAATGCCCAAGGTTCAAACCACCATGTATCATTGGTCTTCTTGGATGTAGACTCACCTCTGAGGAAATGTAGATGGGCACAAATATCCATGCCAGTGCCAGCAACACATATGTCGCCTAAAGAGAAACAAAGGTAGGATAAGTACCTGCTCCTTCCATGGTATGGATGCAGTGGGAAGAATGAGCCCTACAGTGATAGGCAGGAGACCTGGGCCCTAGCGCTGACTCAGCCACTCACTTTCTGGGTAAACTCAGCTGAGTCAATTTACTCAGGACTTCAGTTCCCTCCTTAGCAAAGTGAAGAGGTTATTTCAATTAGATGATATCTGAGAGTCTCTTCCAACTTTGAGGTTCTACATTTTATTTCCACAAATCCACAGTCCTGACATTCAGAATTAGGACCCTGAAAGGTCCTCAGACAGTAACAAAAAACAATTGAGCCCTCAATATAACTTTCTAAGGTAGGAAAATAGATTTAGACACAAAAGCAACTTAATTTGACCAACATTTTGAATCCCAAAATGTCTGTGCTGGAAGGTCTCTCAGAGAGATCATGTAGCCCAACCCCTTTGTTTTACAGAGGAGGAAACTGAGTCCCAGAGAGGAGATCGATTCATGCGAAGTTGCAGAGCCAGGAGTAGGATTCAGGGGCCCTGGGACCAAGCACCACAGCTGCCTCCCTAGATTCTCTAAAACAAGAACTAAAACAGGAATGTTTGGGGAGTCTAGAGTTGGAAAGGATCTCAGAAGTCATATAGCCCATACAGACTATGGCACTTACATTCCACTCAAAGCCAGCTACAGCCAGTCCTCCTGCTGCTCCTGACCCAGCCAGTCCAATGAACAGCCCAGATCCTTCACTGCTGGCAAAGAGAAAGGCTCCAATCTGCAGAACAGAACACACCTGAGCAAACAGTTCCTCTGTGCTATCCAATCCCATCTTCTCCTGCCCTCCCAGGTTCATCAAGCAACCAGATGGGAAACAGAAGCCAAAGTTGCACTACTAGATATATCCCCATGACTTTCTAAGTCAGGAACATAGATTCATACATTGTAGTGTTTGGGGAGCACTGTTTTCCCCTGGTTCTCCTTCAACCTATCTATCTGATCACTCCTTCTCAGCCTCCATTGCTGGGTCTTCATCTAGGTTAGGCCAGCTAACATTGGGTCTGAAAAGTGACTACATATATATCATGATCATATTGTCCTGATCTTCAGATTTTTGGACTGACAAAAGCTAGTCCTTTTGCAAAGACTTTTCCTCCCTTGAAATAAAAACTGTCCCAGAAAATTCAGTATGTATGATTGTTGTACCCCAATGTCAGAATCCCATGACTTTCGACAGTTAGGAGTGCCTAGCCTCTGACACAGGAAAGCCATAGAGACTAGAGAGCTTAGAAGGTTTCATGAAGGACGCAGCTGTTGCTGACCTTATGACCCAGAGTCATAATCAGCCAACAGTGCCCGAGGCATAAGGCAGCTTGCAGCATAGCAGCACACAAGACTTCCTCGAGGCCACAACCATAATGCAGGAGCGCCCCAAATATGCACTGGTCTGCCACAAACATCTCACCTGACTGCCCTGCTCTCCCTATTGCCTATCTATATATTATATGTAATATATATTATATTGTCTATATATGTATATGTGTATATGTGTGTGTGTGTGTGTGTGTGTGTGGTATATACACACACACATCTATTCATTTTCATAGCCACAGCTTAATGACAGTTTTAGGAACAGTACAACAGCAGCTCAGGGTCCTCAGTTCTCCTTTTTAAAAAAGACTGCTACCCAAAGCAACTTCAAAGGGGGATAGAGGGTGATACTACTGCACCAACTGCTGCCTTCCTGTTCTCATAGTTCAATTCCTTTCCCTCCCTGAGTGAATCCCAAGGAAAGGTCATCTAGGACAGGGCTTCTTAAACTTCTTCCACTCATGATCCCTTTTCTAGTTTTGGCAGATTGCGCAGTGCAAAGTGAGCTTCCTTTGGGTTCAGAACCAAGGCTTCAGTGAAGTTGCATAATGCAACACTGGCAAGCATTGCCAGAAACACCCGGGGTTCATTATGCATTTGCTTTTAAATTAATTTTTGGTCATTGCATGTTCAGAAACCTTTTACTGTTGCCAAATTTTTCATAACCTCATTTGGGGTCGTGATCCACAGTTTAAGAAGCGATGATCTAGGAAATGGAAATACCAAAACTTCACCATAGAGCCTCTAGCTTCCCCCATCCTTAGTCCTTCACCTCTGCCACAGGCCCAGTTCCCATTCTTAAGGGGAGGGGTGTGTCATGCCCTCCCATAGCCTCCAAATCCCTCCAGGGTTTCCCTCACTATTAAGGAAGGTTAGGGGAGATAGGAACCTGAAAGGATTAGGGAAAATGTGAGGAAATGGGAAGCAGAAAGAAAGTGAGAGAGGGCTCAGGGTTGAGGGGAGACAACACTGAAAGGAGATGTACTGGGTGGGAGCCAAGAGGAGACAGAGGTGCTAGCAGAATATGGGGGACTGAAGAAAGATGAAAAGATTGAGAGTAGGGAAAAGATGATAGAATGAGAAAAGAATTGAGGACTGACGGAGAAGGGAAGGAGGGGTTAAAAGGAGAGAAGCTCAGCAGCAGAGGAGAGAGGGGAAGTTCAGAATATACTTACTGGCCACCATGTCATGTCTCTTCCTGCAAGGAAGTACCCACTCACTGTGTTTCTGTTGACTCTGAATGAAGACTGAAAAGAGAGAGAAAGGTCCTGAGGTGAATATACCCACTCCCTCCCTGGGCCCAGAGATCAACAACCAAGGTTTCTCAAAATTTAGAGAATTGGGCCCAAACCCACTCAAAAGGGACTTATGGGGTGACCAGAGTTACAGCCATACCAAGCAAGTGGACTTTGCAGTAGAAAAGACACAGTGAAGAGTTCTAACCCCTTATCTGTTACTAACCAGCTACTGTGTGGCCACATCAGGTTCTCTCTCTGGACCTTAGCTTTCTCATCTATAGTTTAGTGATTCCTGTGGCCCACCTCCTTCACAGGATCATTGCGAGGGTCCACAGGTATCTCAGATGTCTCGGATGCATATGGAAAGCAAAAGTGTCCCCAAAATCTGAAGGATCATCATCACCATCACCATCACAGAGTAATCAAAGAAACTCCCAAGGGATCTTCAACTGCTTAATGGGGTTAGGCATGACAAGAGTTAAAGGCTTGCCTAGAAAGACCTCAGACTTTTCTGGCACACTGAAAATAAAAGGAGAATTATGCTGGGTAGTATAAATTAAACATTACATTTTATAGTACAGACTAGAAATACTAAAGGATTGCTGAGGAAAGAAGTATTGCTAAGGGAAGGCTTCATAAAGAATGTGAGACATGAAAGACAGGTAAAATTTGGCCACGTAAAAGAGAAGGTATTTCAGTCATAAAACATTTTCATGATTCTTCCTTCATGAATACAGATTACAGCCCCTCTACAATTTAGTAGATGGTCTTCATGAATTACTCTGGCTAAAAATGTTCAACACCCACTGACCAATGAGCTTCTTTGACCTTAGTTAAACTGATTCTTGGAGACAGGTACACAGTTCACTTCTGATTTCATACCTTTCTAGGCTAGAAGCTCTTCCAGCTCGGTAGGTAGAACGTATTGGAGTTTGCAGTCTGCATGATGTAGTGGGTAACAGTTAGGAAGATTTGAATTCAAATTCTGACATTTGACAGAATTTTGGGGACTCTGACATTTCCTAGCTATATGACACCAAGCAAATAACTATTCTGCATCTCAATTTCCTCATCTGTAAAATGGGGATAATACCTGCAGCCCACCTCACAGGGCTATTGCCAGACTCCACAAAGAGCTAACGTGTATAAAGCACTTTTCAAACAAACCTTAAAGTTCTCTATAAATGTTAGCTGTTATTGTCACAGCCCAAGTTTTCTTCCATGCCACCATGAGACAACAAAGCAGGACATTAGTCTTCATCTGGAAAATAAGGATAATGATACTTTTTCCTACATACTGCAAAGCACCAAAATAAGATAGAAGGTAGAATAAGATAAATAAGATAATAGGTAGGAGATAATTTTTAAAAGGTATGTTGCTAGAATTAGAGTCATAAAAAGTTCAAATTCTGCCTCAGACACTTACTAGCTCTTTAACACTAGGCAATCCACTCAATCTTCCTCAGCCTCAGTTTCCTCCTCTGTAAAATAAGAATAATAGTATCTACCTCACAGGATTGTTGTGAGGATTGAATGAGTTAATTTATGTAAAGAGTTTTGCAAATCTTAAAGGACAATGTAAATTCTATTATTGTTATTAAAACTATGAAGGATGACTAACATTGTTTATACTTATTGCTTATTAGAGATACAGAAAGCAGTGGTAGATGGAGGACCAATCTTGGAGTCAGAAAAACCTGGGTTCAAGTCCTACCTTTGAAAAATTTTTATTGGTATAACCATGGGCTAGTCAGTTAATTTTTAGAGGCATAGGAAACTCTCTAAACTACATATTACAGAAAAGGAACTGATTTGTATCAAAGGAGGGATTTTCCACACCAGGAGTCCCTTACCAAATAGATGAAATCATAGGTTTAGACCAAAAAGAAAAAAAATGACTAGTGTATAATATCAGTAGAGGGAGCTCTAAGGATCAGCCTGATCCCGAAGGTCCCATGGAGACATTTTTGGGAGCTTTCTCTAGCTAAAGCTCAAGACCCACATGGTTCCCAAATGAGAAATCCTTATTTGCCAATAGTAAATTAAGCAAGCACAGATTTGCAAACAGGAAAGACTCTGGGGCATTTGTGTTCATTTATTCCTCACCAATGAATCTTTTCCCCCCATAGTAAGCATTACACTGACTACTTGACCGAGGTGATATGAATCTGTTGTTAGTGGCCCAAGATTTATTAAGTACAAGCATGAAGGGGAAGACCCCAAAATTCACGAGGGAAGAAACCATAGTTCACATTTTCCCAGTGCTTTGATAACCAGGCTGGTAAGTCAGATAAATCAATCTTTGAATCCATGGTTATAGAGAGGACATATGCAGAAATGGTATAATAAAGAGAATTTAGTTGGGTCCCCCTTTGCTGGAGGTCTTCAAGCAACAGTTGCTGTAGAGAGGCTCCTTGTGCAGGTGTGGGACTCAATGGCTTCTGAGGTCACATCCCTCAGATTTGGAGATTCTGGGGTTCAGATGGAGTTCTTCTCTCAGGTTTAATCCTCTTTCTACATTTTCCCGTCTTACTAAATAATCCCCCAGGAAAAGGAAGATAATGCAAGGCTTACTTTTTTCTGGAGATACCCTCTCTTCAACCCATCCAAATCTATAATCTTCTAGGTTGATACATAGATATAGATTTCTCATTGATTGATGAAATCACAAATCTGAATACACATATAAATGCGTCTGTGTCAACATATATGTGTGTGTGCATGCATCCTCATTTGTGATTTCTTTAGTATAAGGAAATATGTACATGTGTGTCAATATATCCAAGTATGTGTACATATATGTTACTATTTATAGTTTAGATTGGTTGAAGGAGTTTCTCCAAATCTCCATTTGTAGAGAGGGTTTCCTCACTGGGATTGCCTATACAAACAAAATCATGCAGTTGGCTAATCCTACCTCTAAGACTTATCACCTGTGTAACATTGGGTTACCTCCTCAGACCTCAGTTTCCTCATCTGTAAAATAAAGTAGTTAGGAAACTAGCCAAGATGGTGATATAGGAGAAAGCAGTACAGCTCAGCTCCATGTCACCACAATTCCACAAAGACCTAGGAATTGTACCAGGCCACATCCTGATCCAGAAATCCAGGGGAAAATCAGAGGGAGATCTTTTTCTAGCCCAGATCAGCATATGGGGAAAGAGGTCTTGGGATGCTGAGGAGAGGTGGAGACTTCTGGCGCTGGGACTGAATGAGGTATGCTGCTTTGTCCTCGGGCAAGAAGTATTTCTGGATCTGAGATGGAGGTTCTTCATGCTTTGCAGGAAGCAGCTCTTTTGTGCATATTCCAGAGCCATTTAGTTTCATTGTTTATCTTGAGATTCTTGACTTTTTTTCTCCCATATGAAATTTCTTATTTTTTTTCTAATTCTGTAAAGTAATCCTTTGGTAGTTTGATTGGTATAGCATTAAATAAGAGAATTATTTTAAGCAATTATTTTCATTTTTATCATATTGATTTGTCCTACCCATGAGCAATTAATATTTTCCAATTATTCATGTCTATCTTTATTTCTGCAAAGTTACTATAACATCAATATTATAAAAATGTAAGGTATTTATCAGATCTATGGAGAACAGAAGAATTCATGACTAAACAGGAGATAGAGAACATTATGAAAAGCAAAATGGATCATTTTGATTATATTAAATTGAAAAGTTTTTGCACAAACAAAGCCAATGCAACTAAGATTAGAAGGAAGGTAGAAAATTGGGAAAGAATTTTTACAACCAGTCTCTCTGATAAAGGCCTCATTTCTAAAATATATAGAGAATTAAGACAAATTTATAAGAACACAAGCCATTCCCTAATTGATAAATGGTCAAAGGATATGAACAGACAGTTCTCAGATGACGAAATTAAAGCCATCTATAGTCATATGAAAAAAATGCTCTAAATCATTATTGATTAGAGAAATGCAAATCAAAACAACTCTGAGGTACCACATCACACCTATCAGATTGGCCAACATGACAAAACAAGAAAATGATAAATGTTGGAGAGGATGTGGGAAAATTGGAACACTAATACATTGTTGGTGGAGTTGTGAAATGATCCAACCATGTTGGAGAACAATTTGGAACTATGCCCAAAGGGCTACAAAAATGTGCATACCCTTTGACCCAGCAATAGCACTTCTAGGGCTATATCCCAAAGAGATCAAACAAATGGGAAAAGGACCCACATGTACAAAAATATTCATAGCAGCTGTTTTTGTGGTGGCAAAGAATTGGAAATTGAGAGGATGCCCATCAATTGGGGAATGGCTGAGCAAGTTGTGGTATATGAATGTAATGGAATACTATTGTGCTATAAGAAATGATGAACAGGCCGACTTCAGAAAAACCTGGAAAGACTTACATGGTCTGATGCTGAGTGAAGTGAGCAGAACCAAGAGGACTTTGTATACAATAACAGCCACGTTATGCAATGACTAAGAATGTTAAACTGAACCCTTCTCAGCATTACGAGGATCTAAGACATCTCCAGAGGCCTCGGGATAGAAAATGCTGTCCACATCCAAAGAAAGAACTATGGAAGTTGAATCGCTATCACTTATTTTTACCTTCTGTTGAGTTTTGTTTCATCTTTCTGATGGTTCCTCCTATTGGTTTTAATTTTTACTTACAACTTCACTAATGTGAAAATACATTTAATGGGTATGTAAATGTAAAGCCTATGTCAGATTGTGCGCCATCCTGGGGAAGGTGGGGGGGGGGAGAAAAAGGGAGAAAAATTTTCAACTCAAAAGCATGTGGAAAAAAAATTAAAAAATTAAAATTAAAAAAATGTGAAGTATTACATATAAAAAATAATTCATCTAGAAAATAGATCAAGGAGAGCTCATTGGAGAATCATGGAGCCATTACCCAAAAAAGAGCCTACATATTATATTTTGAGAAATCATAAGAGAAAATTGCCCAGATCTATTAGAATAAGAGGGCAAAGTGAAAATAGAAAGAATTCACTAATCGCCTCCTGAAAGAAATCTCAAAATGAAAATTTCTAGGAACATCATAGCTAACATCTATGGTTTTCAGGTCAAGGGAAAAAAGTACTGTAAGCAACCAGATATAAAGATTTTAAGTACTGTGGAACAGTCAGGATCACACAAGATTTAGTGTGTGATCCCATTATAAAGGAGCAAAGAAATTTGAATACAGTATTCCAGAAGACAAAGACTATTGGCAGCATTTTTTTGGGGGGCAATTGGGGTTAAGTGACTTGCCCAGGGTCACACAGCTAGTAAGTGTCAAGTGTTTGGTCTGATGTCGAATTTGAACTCAGGTGCTTCTGACTTCAGGGCCGGTGCTCTATCCATTGCGCCACCTAGCTGCCCCCAGTTGGCAGCATTTCTGCTAGTTCATTTGCTCAGTTGGGTTCTCATTGTCTACTGGGGTGGGGAACCTGTGGCCTCGAGGCCACATGTGGCCCTCTAGGTCCTCAAGTTCTGTTCTTTGACCTTTTATTAGTGGAATTTGTTCTATGAAGTTTGGATTCAGTTAAAGGGCCCTGAGGCCACAGGTGCTCACTGCTGGTCTGTACTCTGCAGTCTCAACTGGATTTCAAAGGCTAGGTCACTCGAGTCCTTGGACAACTTTCTTCTCTGTTGCCAGGGGTCCCATCCTCAAAGTTGCTTCCTCCCTTGAGTGAATGCCTTTCTATATGCAAGCCTATCTAGAATATATATCTCTTCTTCCTCAATTATGACTGGAGTTCTTAAAATGGCAATATTTTGAACTACTATATGGGGTGTTTCCTGATTTTCTGCTAGCTGATGGGGGAGAGTGGAGAAATTACCTCACCCCTCTTCAACAAAGCTCTCAAGTCTGCAGTCCTGGCTTGACATTCTCTCACTTTGTAGGACTAAAGTCCTACAAAGGCATGTCCAACTTTTGCTTGTCCAATGAGGTTTCTCCCTTTAATTCCATCAGAGAAAGGGTTTACTCTGTATAACTCTTTGTAATCATAAGGGATTACTAAAATGGAGGAGTGAAGAAAGGGAAGAGGGAGCCCAGAGACAGCAAAATCCAGTGGCCGAATTTCAATATTACTATTACAAAGGGAACCATTTTTTAAAAGTTTTCATTAAAAATGCTTTAAGTTTTTTTTTCTTTATAGATTACTTTGGTCCCAGGCTGCCTCAGTTACTGGGCAAGTGGGGAGCAGAGACAGGGAGGTAGGTGTGTATGCTCCAGTGGGTGTGGATAGGGTGAGGTAGGCTTTGGGACTCTGGACTCCCAGATAATCCTCATACTCACCAAAAATGCAATGGTTGATTCTGTTATCTGTTAGTAAATGCATTCTTTATTTCTATAAAACATTACCACCTTGTGAATAAAAATCTAAATTGTACTCATCATTATTTACATCTAATAGCTTTTAGAATCTAACAGAACTGTTTGATTTTTTATTATTATTATCTGAAGGTGTGAGGAAGCTCAGGGAGGGGACTGCCCAGGAGCCAAATTCCAATACTTAGCTACAGATGGGTCAGTCTTTCAAAGAAAAGTTTTTGTTAAAATTGCTTTTTTTTTTCTTTTTAGGTCTCAAGTTTTCTTCTTTGGAAAGAAGGGGTGAGAAGTGGTGGGAATGAGGTACAGCCTTCAGTTCAGGTCCTGCCCACCAGCCAAGAATGAGAGAGTTCCTTTATTAATTACTCCCCCAGTCTATCTACCCATTCTTTTTTTTTAATTGTTTTCATTTCTTTAGGTGTATATGGGTTAGGTTCCATTTCTCAGCTAGCATCCCAGTCCTGGACATATGCCATGAAAAGCCTGGTGGAAGGTTGGGGTTGGGATCCAGGAGGCCTTTTTCAGCAGAGAGCTGGTGAGAGACTCTAGTATGGCCCCAATTTCCCTGCAAAATGTTCACAGATAAAGCCCTGCACCATAGCTACCCTGCTTTCTAATAGATGGGGAACACTTCCAACTCATATTTCTTGATACCTATTTGTGTTGGACTCCCCTTCCTAGAGCAGATGGAGAATGACCACAATATTGCAGTTAGTTCGACACTATTGCTGCATTTAAACCTCATCATCTGAGACTAAATGCTAAGGTATCAACTGAGTTGGGGGAGGGGGAAATCGTAATTCTCTCTCACCTTATATATAGAATTGCAGATTCAAGCTATGTGAAAGAAAGAAAGAAAGAAAGAAAGAAAGAAAGAAAGAAAGAAAGAAAGGAAAGAAAGAAAGAAAGGAAAGGAAAGGAAAAGGAGAAAAAGAAAGAAAGAAGGAAGGAAGGAAGGAAGGAAGGAAGGAAGGAAGGAAGGAAGGAAGAAAGAAAGAAAGAAAGAAAGAAAGAAAAGAAAGAAAGAAAGAAAGAAAGAAAGAAAGAAAGAAAGAAAGAAAGAAAGAAAGAAAGAAAGAAAGAAAGAAAGAAAGAAAGAAAGAAAGAAAGAAAGAAAAAGAAAAATGGGTTGTCTTCGAAGATAGTGAATTCCCCACCTCTTATCTTTCCAGAGAGACTAAATGACAGCTTGATGGAGGTGTTTGCTGGAGGAGGATTCTTGCTTGGATTGGACTTCTTGAGTAATAAAGTTCCTTTAAATTCTCTGATTCTCATATAATTCTATCATCAGTTTTGTTGGGTAGGTAGGGTAGGTCACGGGATAACAGAATTTAGAACTGGAAGAACTGGAAGTGCCTGGCCCACAGTCATACAGCTGTTAAGAGGAAGGACTGAGACTCAATCCAGTGCCCTTTCCACGACCCTTGGATGCCATTTGTCACTTCCTTTTACAAGTAAAGAAACTGAGGCTCAAGAGAGGCTGAAAGATTTGTCAAAGGTCCCATTAACCAGATCTTGTCAGCCTTTTCCCCTGACCAGAACCACCTATTACTTTCCTGCGATTGTAGCTCAAGGGGAAGGCTTAGAATAGAACAGAGAAAGTGAATTATTCACCCAAAGCAGCATAACTGAATGCAACGCCAAGGATCTTCCCACCGAGGCCAATTTATCTAAATTACATGCAAAACATTGCTGGAAATCTAGAGCACTGAAGCATGGTAGAAACAGGGCAAGGTAGGAAATCTACATTGGAGATTTGTCATTTCCAAGGAAAGCCTGCCCTGGAAGCCTTCAAGTCCAACATCAGGCATAGAACAGGAGGTTCAAATCTCAGCCAAAATCCCACCTTTAAGAAGCTTCTCCCATTCCTCTTCAATCTTAGTGCCTTCCCTGAGACTGTTCCCAGTTTATCTGTATATTTCTTGTTACTATATAGTTGTTTCCATGTTGTCTTCCCCATTGGAGTTGAGAGTAGAGGCTGTGTTTTACATTTCTCTGAACCTTCAGAGCTTAACACAGTGTGTGGCAAATAGTAGGTGGTTAATAAATGCTGGTTGACTGAAAAACTGTCATTTAAATCTTTTTGTGCTGGGGTCTAGCTGGTGGGCTCCAAATAACTTGTTGCTCATACCTGACTTACTTTGTGGTGGGTGGGGAGGGCAGGGGAGGTAGGGGTGGATCTTTGATTTTTCTTATGTAAGACCTCCCAGTGACCTTCCTTCTAACTAATGAAACATGCTGCTCATCTCCTGACAGAGAGGTGATAGATTCAAGATGCAAAATGGGGCATACCTTTTTGGACACGCGGATTTGATTTGCTTTACTAAATATTTGTTACAAGAGGTTTTTTTCTTTTCTTTTTTTTCCCAGTTGGGGGTAAGGGTGGTGGGAGGGAGAGAAAATAAATGATTAACTGAAAATTAAAAAAAAAAGATTTTTTTAAACTTCCCCCTACTACATCCTCAGCTTCTAATCTTATGGAGTTGCCTTGCCTAGTGTCAAACAGACATTATCTGTCAAAAGCCAAACTTGAACCTAGGTCTTCCTGATTCCAAGCCTGGCTCTATCCACCACACAGTGCTGTTTCTCATAACTGGAGTATGATAGTAACAATAATAGCAAAAAATTACATTTATATAGCATGTTAAGGTTTGTAAAACACCTTATATCCATTGTTTCACTTGTTCTCCAATCTGTAAGGTAAAGTAGGTATTATTCTCATTTTACAGATGAGGAAACTGAGGCTCAAACAAGTCAAGTGACTTGCCCAGGGTTACAGAACTAGTTATTTGCCAGAGGTAGGATTCAAACCCAGATCTTTCCCAGCTCCTAGTTCAGTGCACTTTCCAGTATGCTAGGCTTCCATTATCAAATAAAAATCCCTTATATTTACTTAGCATTCAGTTCATACTTCTTCCATCAATTAATTAATTAATTCATGTATTTATTTATTTGCTTGTTTGTTTATTTATTTATTTTGGCTAGACAATGGGGTTAAGTGACTTGCCCAGGATCACACAGCTAGTGTTATGTGTCTGAGGCTGGATTTGAACTCAGGTCTATCCTGAATTCAGGGCTGGGTGCTTTATCCACTGTGCCACCTAGCTGCCCCCTCAGTTCATACTTTTTAAAGTAATTCTGTATCCTCACAACAAGCTTGTGAAGAAGGAAGGGCAAGAAATATTATTATTGTCCCCATTTGACTGATGAAGAAACTCTTACCCAAAGTCACCTGGCTAGGAAGTGCTGGAGCCACGACTAGAACTCAAAGTGTGGCCTTATAATAATATAAGATCCACAAGGAAATGTGGCAGTGACATTTTATAACATTGTCCCTTAGTTACTTAACTCATATCCCCCAAGACTATTAAATAATCGAATAATCTGTGAGTTCACTAGAATAGGGAAATCCTGCAGATTTGCAACACATTCATGACCCCTAGGGTCAAGAGATAGCCTTAGGAAGTAGCTTGAGGCACATAGAAATTAAGTTACCCAGGGTTACCCAGCTTACAAATGTCAGAGGCCAGATTTGAACCCAGGTATTCCTGTTTTCAAGTCTGATACTTTATCCACTATACCATGCTATCACCTCCCAAAACCTACTAGAAAAAAATGTCCTACGTTTCAAAAAGTCAAATGCAAGAAGCTTCCACTTGGGACTCACCCATATTCCCACAGCCACGTTTAAAGCAAAATACACCACGATGATGATAATATCAGTCACATTAAGCTGTTGCCTAAAGGAGTGAGGGTCACTGGTAGAGTTGTCTGCCATGATCTCTTCTGTTTCAGCACCAGACTGAATGAGGGCAAAAAAAGGAACAAACCAATTGTGGTAGGCTTTCTTGTTAGAAATTGATCATTAAACCAACTGATGATGTCATTTTCAGCCCACGACACATCTGTGTGGGGTGAGGACAGCTTCAAAGTACAATTCATTTGGTTTCCTAGCCTCTGCTTAAAAATCATATGACTAGAGACTGCGTGGGATCCAAGGCTGCATGTCTACAAAGCAACCTGAGCCTCTAGAGGTACAAAATGCTGTTCTGGATAGCCACAAGAGATGGGCACTATCTCAGAGTCCTGACTCTAACAGAGGAGAGGAGGTTGTGTGAATGCATAGCTGGGGAAAATTAACTTTTACTCCAAAAATGTTTAAAGTCTTTTGCTGCAGCTTGAAGATTCCATATCTCAGAGAAGATACCACACAGAGCAAACTTTCTTTGTCAAAGGGATTGAGAGAAGCATCATTTACTCCCCAACGTCGAGTAACCACTGCAAATAATCTTAGATCAACTGCTTTTGAGTGATATTTTTAATTCACATTATTATATTCATTATGTATATTGTTTTCCTGGTCTGCTTCCCTTTCCTTGCATCAGTTAATACATATTTTCCAGTGCTTCTTGGAATGCCTTGCATTCACTATTTCTTACAGCACAATAGTATTCCATTACAATTGGTGGTGCTGGGGATTCTTGCTGATTCATGCTGGTGGGAAGGGAAAGGGAAGACTCCTGAGGAATTGGAGTCTAGTTGATATTAAAACGCTTTGCTGGTGGGGAAAGGAACTTTTAGTCATTCCTGATGGTCTTATCTGACAAGGTGATTAAGGGGATTTGAATGTCCCTAATTAGTGTGGCAGAAGGGTTCTAAAATCCTTACACCTTGCAATGCCATCAAAGTGAATGAAAGTACTCTGCCTAGGTAAAGGAGGGGATAATGAAGAAATCAGGGAACAGAAACCTAGGAAAGAATGTATTAAAATTTCCATTTTGCCTATTATTGGCTCTTTTTAAAATAATATTTCAGTTAGTAATTTTTAAAGGAAAAAACTAGATTAGATTAAAATTAATGGAAAATATATATGATTTCAAGAAAATGTGAAATGACACTCGACCTTTAGTTAACTCTATTCTTCCCCCAAAATCTGTGCCCTGTCCCTATTTCTGGCAGCCCTGATAGTCTTTTTTCCCCAGAAGCTCTGACATCCCCTTTACAAATTTCCTTTGTAATATAGAGAAGAATGAACTTTTATATTGAAGACAGAGAGGGCAGGTTGTAATCCTCTTTGCCAGAAGTATGCCTTTATGTAAGACTTGCGTTCTGATAACATGGATGATTCTAGGACATCATCTTCAGAGACTAGGTATGGGCCCCAAATGTCTCAAGATGAGGCTATAAATGCAAATAATTTTAAAGCCCTACATAATTATGATTACTAACAATACAAATTATATACATATTTGGGGATAAAATGCTAGATTTGAGGTTCAGGGAAACTTGGGTTCACATTCCACTTTTAATACTTGGGATCAGTTAGGAAGATTGATCAGAAGATTTACAATTTGAAGAGATCTTAAAGGTCACTGAGTCCAACACTCTTCCTTTACATATTGGGAAACTGAGTCCCAGAGAGGTGAAGTGAAATCTGTGACGAGGATTAAGTCACTTAAGTTCTCTGAGTCTTAAGTTTCCCCAGCTGCAAATTGGGGTTTAATAACCTCCCTTCAACGGGTTATTGCAAGGCTCAAGTGAGACCATGGATATAAAGTTTAGCAAACTTTAAAATGCTGAATAAACACCAGTTATTATAACATAAATAAATTTAAACTACTTCTGAACTTGATTTTTTAACCCATACCACATCTTAGTTAATATTGTTATAAATATGTATTTACTTGTCCTTAACACCTCTTTCAAGCTTCAGGAAGAAAAGTTTGAAAGGAGGGGCCCCTAGTTTAGTATTATGGGGTTTGCCTCACAGAGTGTATGTTCCCTTTTCCACTCTCTCCATTTGTTTATGGACTTTGATCCTGTCCTTTCTCAATCATAATCCTTCCAGAGTAAAGAGGTATCATCTTTTCTCTGTCTTTTTCACCCTGTCCTTTCAACCTTGTCCTAAGGCAATAGACATGGTGGAAAGTAGGCACAATGAGGTTGTGAACTGGTCCAACTCTTGTGGAAATCAATTTGAAATTATGTGACAAAAGTCACATTCAAAATCTTTGACCTATACAGGTCAATGAAAGAGAAGAAATGTCATATAAGCTGAAATATTCAGAACAGCACATTTTTGAGGGTAGCAAAACAAACACAAACCCAGAAAAACATAAACCCATCAAATTGGGGACCTGTTGATTGGGAAAAAGGTTGAACAAAGTGTGGTATATGAAGAACTCTATCAAAAAAACCTAGAAGACTTTGTTTGTTTTGGTTCCCCTTGCCACTGGGTTTCAGTGGAATTTACCTGTTTTGGCCCTTCCTGAATGCCTTTCTTTATTGTATGGCCACTCAATAAAAATGTCTTGCTTTACTTCTTCAATCTTGTTACTTGCTCTGTGTTTCCTAGTACCCCACTTTGGATCCTGAACCTTACTGAACCTCTATTAGCGCAGTCATTATTCATTTTCCAAAGACAAAGATCTCAGTTTGGTAAAAAGGGGAAAGACAGATCTTTGAACGTCCTCATATGCAGTTGTAGGACGAGTGCTCAAGGGATCACAAATTATGATCCCTCTTCAAAATCTCCTTCTTTTACAAATTTTTACTCTCACCAAGGCTGAAGAGAAGTAGTCACAAAGAACAGGTAGTATAAAAATAAAAACATTCACATTCCTTTTGTTCAAACAAAAAAAAAAAAGAGAGAAGAAACCAAATGTTTTCTCATAAGGGAACACATAGGTAGCTGGTTGACACAGTGGATAGAGTGCCAGGCCTGGAGTCAGGAAGACCTAAGTTCAAATTCAGCCTCAGATACTTAACTAGAGCCTGGGCAAGTAACTTAACCTCTGTTTGCCTCAGTTTCTTCATCGGTAAGACAGGAATAATAACAGCATCTACTTCACAGGATTATTGTGAAGATCAAATGAGATAATTGTAAAGCACTTAGCACAGTGCCTGGCACATAATAGGTGCTATATAAACGCTAGCTATTGTTGTCATTGTCCTCCTCCTCCTCAGTACTGTTAGTTTCAAACCTCTGAGATTACAGGCTAGGAGATATTTAGTTCATTAACACTCCTTCCCCCAAACGGCAAGTGGCAACGGACATACCAAAAAGAAGCAACACTACCAGAAACCCTTAAAAGAAAAAATATTTCTTGGGAAGAACAGAAAATAAATAAAGGTAGAGCTGTGACAAAATGAAGAATACAAGCATGAAGAAGTAGGGGCATAAGAAAGTCGGGTGATTTTTGAGGGAAGTCATTCCTCCCTGGCTTTTGAAAACTATGTGACTCCCTCTCCCAGCAAAGTAAAAGTACTCGGTATTAAAATAATTCAATGTTTTGGAGATTACTGGGTTCTCTTTTTAGGAACATTAAAAAAGCAAACTCTTCCCTGTTTTCCTGACAATCAGTAAGACCACTTCTGGTGTCTTTAGTCCTAAATCTGAGGTTTCCCCTCTTTCAGAGATGATTACTCTGACTTCATTTGGTATTAAATTAACTTCTGTTTCCAAATTTGATTTCCACTAGTATCACAGTTAGAGGTGGAAGCTCAAGGGTCATTTGGTCCAACTCCTCTCATTCACTGGATGAGGAAACTGAGGCCCAGAGAGGTTTAGTGACTTGCCCAAGGGTGCACAGGTCTTGATTGATAGAGAAGAAATCCAAAGCCATGTCCTCTGTAGATGCATTGTTTTACCCAATGGATCACCTTGCGTCCTCTAACTAAATCATTATTTCAGGCTGGGTCAGGCACTGGCTGTGTGTCTTAGCGCATGATTACCGACAACAAACTTACCCTCATGTTTTCTGGAAGTGGTTTAATTAGAATTTAACCTGTGCATTTTTATACTCAGTCTTTCACAAATGTGTTAATATGTCAGCCAGGGTATCTAGTAACCCAACTAACCTGCAAAACAAACTTCTGTTACACTGTAACCTGGAGGTATGTTACTTATTACTCCTATTAATAATGTCCCTAGTGGGCAACCTCTCGAACCCTAAACTCCCTTTCTGCCCCCACCCCAAGCCTAATACAAAACATCTAGATTCTATTGGTTTGTAACATTTCCTCCAGGGTCATTGCCCCAACCTGTGCTCATACACACAGTTGTGTTGCCAGATCTGTGGGTAGTTAGTCAGAATGCCATCTCCAGTGCGCTTCTCATAAACAAGCCAGTATGCTTAATTAGCTCTTAGCAAAGGCATTTACTCAAATGGCATCGCCAAAACAATAGTCACAAAATATTTTGTCCTCCAAAACCACAACTATACACATTTTGGGGAAGTGGAGTAAAAGAATGGACACAAACTTCAAAGTACAGCGGTAGCGAGAGACACGTGTAAGGGTCATATTTGGCCAAGGGAATTCATACCTCTGGAAATAAAAGGTTTTAGTGATCTTTTTCTCTCCAAAGATTCCTCAAAATTCATTTTAAAAATGGAGTGTTGCTATTGGTTACGACTGTATTGATCCCCTGCTAAGCCGGTCTAGTTTGTCATAGGAAATGGTGTCTCTGCTGGACAGACTGATCTTCTGGACTCTTTGAGCTTGATCTTCAGTGAGTAGTTGTAGTTTTCACCACCTCCACACTCCGACTCAGCTTGTCACATTTAAAAAAATTAGTTTTATTTTCAGATTCACAGTCTTCTCTCCAGTTCACCCCCAATTTAGAAAGCAAGAACAAATCCTACATTAAAGTCAATCAAAACAAATTCCCACATTGGCTATGTTTAAAAAAAAATGTCTCGCTCTCTACACTGAATACATCACCTGTCTATTAGGAGGTGGGTAGCATGTTTCATCTTGAGCCCTCTGGAATTGTGGTGGGTCACTGGGTTGAT